TTTGATCCTGCTGCAAAGGGTAGGGAAGGCCTGGAGCTTTACTATCGATCCAGCCGCCCCAGAGTAAAGAAGGAAACTGCAGGGACATCCTTTAGGTTTACCAGGAACCTGCATATTAGGAAGGGGGTCATTTGGGAGTGGACAAGAAAGAGAAAAGGAAGGCTCACCTAGTCTATGGGAATATCCTTTAGCGACACGATCTGAGGACCTTGACTTTAACCAGTGTTAGGGATTCCGGTAGATCGGGTTTGCCCGCATTTCCTGCTTCTTCTTAGTTGGTAGCCTGGCCAGTTGGCTGCATGAGTTGATCTTTATAACGCAGAGCTCCTCAACTACAGCGGTAAGGGGAACGCCGTGCCTGAGTTGGACCGTTATCCAGTTAGCCAACTCTTTTGCAGAGCAGCCAATAAAAGCACGTTTTGTGAGATTTTGGAGATTTTTAGCGTACTCTTCGTTGTCCTCGTCAGCTTTTCGGACACGAAGAAGAAGTCTCTGGAGATGACGAGTTGAGCCAACATAACGCAGCATTGACCAATATTGGTGTCGTGGATGATGCGACCACAAACAAGTCATGGGGGAGAGTGCGATGGAATGAGGGCATACTTTGACACTGAGAATAAAGGTAGAGGCTAAATTTGGCAGTTTTGAGCCAGTCTTCGAAGTTTATGCATTCACTAGAAGGATAAAGGTCCACTAGCACTGCCACCAGCGTGGGAAGAGGCTCGTAGATTTTTTCTGCCCTAGCTCTCATACCCTTAGAACTTTCAGGCTGATTCAGCTTTGTCATGTTTATTTGGATGAGCAAATGAGGAGATCAAGTACAAGTTCAGAAAGGCATGGCACGGAACCTTTCTCCAGGTTGCAGGACTCTGAATCTTCAGTCATGAGGTTTCATTAGCCTCTCCATCTCCTTCCTGAAGGGGATATGCAAACAACATACATATAACATTAAAGATAATACTTATCACAAAACAGACGGCATAAAATATTTTCTCTTATTTTCTTATGCGAAATTTTGCAAAACTTATCGTAAAACTAATTATATAATAAGATTTATGTAATAAGCCCAAATTGTTTATTAACTTTGCTAAATATTTTTGGAGGATTTTGCAGAGCAAAGAATTTAATTTAATAAAAAATTTCGTTTCATATTTGATTTCTAGTTTTAGGTCTTGCATCGAGCGTACCAAAAATTTGATTGCAATACTCAGTCTTCGTTAATCAGGCAATATTTTTCCTAGTGGATCTTATCTAAAGCGAGAATTTCCTGAATACAAATGAAGACAAAACACTAGGTCAGATAATACAGATTTGACAAGCTGAATGTTGTGCGTGAACGTAGTTGATCGCAGGAACACTAACTTCAGAGTATAGTTGTGTTTAGGGCTAGACTCACCGATTTCCTCTGCCCCGTTCCTAGTGTTCCTAGAACAGCCCGGTTGATTTGGTTTCGGCATCTTTATTAAAGGAAAAAGGTTGGGAGAAAAGGTGCAATGTTTAGAGCGGGGAAGAACTGCAATCGCAACTAGGCACGGAAGGCGACGACCCTCTCACCAGATTCAAAGTTCCAGATTGCCTCCTCCCTT